TTCTGTACCATAGCGGAATTTGTTCTCTTTGTCGGCTGATTTCTTAAAGTTTTCCAGCTATAAAAAAAACAAAACACAAACAAACCCTCAAACACTTTAATGCGTCACAAATTAGATCCATCATAAATCAATCAAAGAAGATATAAGCAGACATGCTTACCTCTGTGCATATGGACTCCGAAAGCCGGCTGGTGAACGGATCTTTATCATGAAATTTGCAAGAACTTCAAGAAAGCCAGAGAGGTATTACTATTTTTTAAAACAAACACCTTTAAAAGAAGTGTTACGAAACAGAAAGGAAATATTTTACCTTGAACGTTGTGACAATGATGGCTCACAGTCAACTGAGGCCTCTTGGTTCTATTAAAAGAAAAAAACAAAGCTACTGAATACAATAGACTGAACAATGAATAACAGTTAGAGGCAGAAAAGAAGCCTGACCTGTGGAGCCTTATGAGTTTTTGCATTACAAGTACCATTTCCTGCTTCGACGTCTTTCTTTGCTTCTTTTTGCCGCTGCAGCTTAACATAATCAAACGTGCTTATGCCTTTATGATCTATAAACCAGAGTGAGGAGCAAACACCACAGGATATAGTGAGGCTTAATCACTGGAAGAGGGGAAAATAACCTTATGACATGTATGTCTCCAAAATTCACTTACAGAGGTAAAGGTGAAAGCCCAGCAGATGGCTTAGCAGCAGTAGGCAGGTGGTGCTCAGCATGACTGTTACGAAGGCTAGTATTAGGAGACCAGCTGAACTCGTCTTTATGGGAGCTAACGGCAAAAACATCAGCCAGGTACTATTCCCCGACACATCTTTGAAAAGAAGGAACAAAAAGGACAGCTTTCAGTGCTGCAATTTCCACCGACTCGGTAAGATTATACTGCAGGTCACTCACCGGCAAACTGCGGTGCAGTCCGTAAGCTGTACGGATTGAGGTAATGCTGAATAAATACGAACAACACAACCACAATAAGCAGAAAGATGCCTATTGTAGCTGAGCACAGTGCCAAGAAGAAGTACCTGAAAGTAACGCATGAAAACCGATGAATTTATAGAGCAAGTCTTACTTCACGTGGACAGCAACGATAAGGCTCATAAATCCAAAAACTTCAACTTACCGGTAGTTCCTTCCACCCACACAGGTGTTCAGCCATTTGCAATGGTGATCAAAGTCTTCCACACACTTGTTGCAAACACCACAGTGTTTTACTTTGGGGCCACTGCAAGAAGATTTAATGTTTTACATCATTACACTTTATTAAAAAAAAAAAAGTTTTTCCTCATTTGTGATAGGGTACCTGCCAATTTGAAAATGCAAATGAACATTAGAGACTGCTGCTCAGGATACATACACATTCACATCACAAAGATAACAGTGCAGGTCGTGGATAACATGCGGTTGCTTTGTTCGGTCAAAGAGAGGCATCGGCGTGGAATAGCTCTGCTTGGACCTCACGCTGTCATCTGCTGGATCTATAGTGAGAACTGCGATGTGTGCGAATAAGTGCACAATAAATGCTATGCCCATCAGCTGCACAAAACAGTCAAGGAAGTTTTTTTGTTTGTTTTTTTAAACGGCCTTAAAGAATATTGCAGCGTGTGATAAATGTGCACTAATGTGAAAAAATATTAAGTGGGACTAGTATGAGAGAACAACTGCTGTACAAGTCTTGTGCATGAGAAATAAAGACTGAAGACATTGACTGTTCTTGTGGTTGACATCATGCGGCATTCAACAGCTTACAAAAAGCCCACTGATTATGTCTTTTGGGCCAGAAAAAGAAAGTGTGTCACACTGGGTGTGACTGAAGCCCATACAGACACGCCACACAACAAAATCCTTGTCCTGTTCAGCAGCACAGACAAAAAAAAAAAGACAAAAAACCCCAGCAGAGGCTAATGTTTGCTCCATATTCAAATAAGAAAGACCCGCTGTGTGTTAAGGATACAGTATAGGCCACATGTTTCCACGGCAGAGGCAGAAGCGGGATATAGATACCAAAGCTAACTATGGTGAGATAGCTGTACACCGACCACCCAACCACCTGGAAGGCTTGAGGGGGCCACGACCATCCGTTCCTTCTGGGAGGCTTGGAGGGGACAAGCTCATTTTTGCTGCTGCCAAGCATGGGAGCTGTCTGTCTGAACCTCTGACTGAAGCAGTTCATCTATGGTGCGAGAGAAGAATAAGAACAGGTTGGAGTACAAATAAAAGTAGAGTACCGGCAGAGTGCGGCCACATTTGCTGGGGAAATGAGCTAGGAAAATGAGTTGAGCATAATGGCAGTGACTGTTCATCCAAAGATGGTGCTATACCAAGACTGTATTAGGTGCAGCTAGATGTTCTACAGTGACCCGGCCACTCTGGTTTACTTTCAAGGGTGTATATGTATTGAAAAAGAAATATATAAGCACTGCAGTGTGATAATAAAGTGAAGTGTAACTGAGGAGCAGTACGAACTACATTTCTTACATTTTAAACTTCATAAAAGCAGCATTAATTTCTCAGCCACTAAATTAAAAAGGCAAATAAACAAGAACGGGGGACTCAGTCGCAAAGCCTGCAGGAAACAGCTGATTAAAGTGACTTCCACAAACTTTAACATCCCCTTCTTTTTCACAGGCCTTGCAATCACATGTTTTCCTTTTAGCCTTACGCTTAGCACAGCATATGAATTGTGCAATCCGTTTAACTTAAAAAGCATAAAAGGTCAACTATTTCTGGACTTGTTCATCTATGTATTAGAAATCTGAAAAAGAAGCAACAGAGCCATCCGGCTGTATTCCTGGCAGCTAGTTTTGTTGCCTCTGCTTTGCTTAACAACTAAAGCGAGTACCTGGCAATCAGTTTATGGTTGCTTTACTGGATTAACCGGCTGTTTAATTTGCAATCAATCTAGCTGACTCCATTTGTACCCGTTAAAATAACAATACTACTAATAATAATTATAATAATTATAATAATAACGACGACACTAGTCTTAACCCATAATTACTTACCTTTCTACTTGCGACAGCGACCATAACATTAAAGTTTCTTCAGTTCATTCGATTTTCACCGCCTAAAGTCCCATCATAACTTTGTCAGCCAAGCAGGTGTTTCTTATGAGTAAAAGTCACATGATAATAAAAACACGACAACATCGACAAATCACTTTAAAGCTCCCGTATGTTGGATAAAACGGGCACACCGGTCCTCCGGTGTCCTTGGATTTGTGAAAGCCGAAGGACGTGAAGTAGAAGAATCAACTCACTCAGCAGGACGGTGCAGCGCTATGGAAACTGTGCGACTGCGCATGCGCAATGGCTCTCTTCGCGATACCTGCCCTTTTCCCCTTTTTTCTATGCATGTGTTTGTGTGTATTTTCCTCTTTGTCAACCTTGACTCGCCAGATGATGTGCATGCAACTCGCCTATTAAACGCACTTTTAAATACTTACAGGTGTCAGGGAATTTGAAACCAATGTTCAATGATTCCACAGAACAAGAAGGAACTGCAGACAGACATATGTGCTCACAGGGTACTTCTGCTTTCAAAATTAAAGCCTGTGCTTTATTTTCAACTCATATTAGACCGTGCTAAATGCATATGTCGCAGCACCCATAGTACTTCAGTTTCACTTCCCCAACACATCGAGACAAACAGCGTACATTGCTCAGTTAGAACTTACAGGTGGAAGCTTACCCATGCTGAAAACCCGAGGACTCAGCAGTTCAGTTACTCTGAAACAACGTTTTCGCTGCAAATGCACGATATTTGGATAACACTGACATTTCCTATTTTTGTGCTCCCATAGTGTCCCATCTTACAGTGCTGTGAGAAAGTACTTGTATCCTTCCTGTTTTCTTATTTTTTGCAGCGATGTCAGACTTACGTGCTTCACATCATCAATCAAATTGTAATATTAGACAAAGTTTTATTTATACAATTATTTATTTGTATTTATTCAAGCCTTCCTTGCCCTGTGTGAAAAAGTTAGCACCCTCCCCCCCCAAACACACGCACACACACTCCTTTAAAATAATTGTGATTGAATCAATAAATCACTTAAATAGAACCGATCTGACAAGGTAAAGCAAGCTAAACAAGTCCAAAAAGCAACACATACGACATCATACCACTATCTACAGAAACTGAAGAACAGATGAGAAAGTAAAAGACATCTATCTCTGAAAAAGACTAAACATTTCTCGTCAACCACAGTGAGAGCCATTGCACATCAGTGACTCATCCAGGAGATCACAAAAGAACATTTTCTAAAGAACTGCAGGCCTCACTAGTCTCAGTTAATGATTCAACAATAAGAAAAATACTGAATAAAAATGGCATCGGATGCCATGACAGAACTCAGCCCCTGTGACTTATCCGGGCCACAGGGCCAGCGGCCTAAGCAGAGAAGCTCAAACCTCCCTCCCCCCAGGCCACCTTCTCCAGGCCAGCCAGGAGATATGATTTCACCAGCGTGTCCTGGGTCTGCACTAGGCCTTCTTCTGGTGGAACATGCCCAGGACACCTCACCCAGGAGGCATCCTTGTCAGATGCCTGAACCACCTGTACTGGCTTCTTTCAATGTGCAGGAGTAGAGGCTCTACTCTGAGGTCCGGATGGCCGAAATCCTCACCCTTTCTCTAAGGGAGAGGCCAGCCACCCTTTAGAGAAACTTCATTTCCACCACTTAAAACCCACAGATAAAAGCAGAACTTTATGGAAGGTTTGATTCCTGTTACATCTGCAGTAAAACATTGAATTTCACAAAAATACATACAGTCCATAGTGGTGATACTATTATCGTCTGGGGCTGGACGACTAATTGTTGCAACCATGAATTCTGCTCTTTACCTTAATAAATGAAATCAGCATTTAAAAACTGCATTTTGCATTTACATGCAAAAAAGAGGACTCAAGAAGAGGGCAAATGCTTTTTAACAACACTGTATATAATCAGAATAAGTAATAGATTTGTGTCTGATAACTGAGTGCACACATTCACAAACACAGGCACAAACATTTATTTTTCAAGTGCTGCAACTCATACAAAAACACACAATCACACTAGTCTGTACACTTATGTTCAGTCTTTAACAAAGGTCTGAGGCTCCTGCTTTCTTCACTGCAATTCAACAGTCCATAACAGAGTAGCCAGAGTGGTTAGCAACAGGATAACAGTGCGGCAGTGTGTGGTCAGCCGTTGGCCGTGTTCTCTGGCTCTGGAGATTGCAGGAACTCATAGGGATCATGAACCATTTCAGACTGGTCTCCAACACCCAGATGAGATGGGCTCCCTATAGATGCACGAAAAAATGGTTCTTATGTTGTATTGCTGGCACTAATAGCTCATTTCATATAATCATTAAAATAAAGGGAAAAGAAGGCATTTGCTGGAGATACCTAAGTGGTGCTGGTCCCTCTCGGAGGCATTAGAGAGTGAGGACAGGTTGGATGAGGGTCTGGAGCCAACTCTGTCCACCTGTGCTTCTTGGAACTCCTGCAGGAGTTTATCAGCATCATCAAAAGGCTGCTGGCCCTCCTCATTACCTGGCTCTTTTTTCACAGTTTTGCCTGATATAAAAAAAATAAATATGGCTTCATTATCGGGAATTAAAGGGCACTTCATGCGACCTTAATAAGGGCGCACATCCATAAAAAACTAAACTAAAACTTGCACAATTCAGCTGAATTTTGTTAAGTAGAACATTATACATTTTCCCCACAGAAAGCTCCTTTAAACTTTGAGTACAGATTCAGTGGAAAAGAAAGTGAAACAGCAAATTCAGCATTTCTGTTCTATGCCAATGAAGGAGACGTGGCTGCCGCATGTGCTGAAAAATAGTAAACATGTTTACATGGAAATAATGCCCTTTATTCCAGCAACTCCAAATATTTACCTACCCCTATGGTAACATCACGTTTACCTGGCTTCTCTTATCTAAATGTCATTGTATCTGAATTACTGATATAGAAATATGAACGTATATACAGCATGTTGATAGAGAACAATCACCTAATGAGTTAAGCATGGTGATATCGAGAGACATATCTGGATAAGTCTTCATTGACATGAAATCCAGCACCGAACTCCCCTCTCCCAGGCCAGCTCCGTCTGCCATCTGAACAGAAAATATCCAGCTTGAATTAGTCAATCATTTCAGTTGAAACAAGAAAAACAATAATCAAAACATATTATATTATCTCCTTTCATGAGCCACAGCGTACCTGCATGTCACAGATGTTCGACTTGGTTTCGTCAGGTTTCAGCATTATATTTCTCTTCTGAAATGTTACAAATAAAGAAGCTTCGTAAACGCAGCAGAGGAACTAAACTTTTCTTTAAGCAAGCAAAAAAAGAAAAAGAAGAAGAAGAAGAAAAAAAAAGAGACTATACCTGTCGTATCTGATTGACAGATTTTGTGTGATCGCCTGCGGTCATCTTGTCCAGGAGCCCGTCAACCCAATGCTTGGTGACACCGCTGCAGCCCTTGACAAACTCCTGTATACTTAAGTGGTGAAAAAAGGTGATCAAAAATGAAAAACTTACCACAACTGGATAATTTATCAGTGCGATCAAAAAAATGACCGCCTACCTTAAAGCGCACTGAACCCCTGTGTCATCTCCATAGGCTGAATAGAGCATGTCCATCTCATCAGGTAACAAGTCTGCAAAGACAGAGTTCTTCTGGAGGCTCTGGACGTTGTAGGCACTGCTAAGAAAGGTCACTATACAAACAGAAAGAAACTTGTTAAAAAGCATGAACTATTTAAAATAATTAAGATTAAGTAAATCAATGAAAGTGTATATTATCACATACCTTTGTGTCTCCTGTCATCTTTAAAGCCCAGGGTTGTTAACCCAGGAAGAAGCTTATTTGACAGAGAACTTAGATCCACTTTATGGGTCTCTTCATCTGCAAAACAATAAATCAAACTGGGTTCTTACAGAGATATCACATATTATAATGATATAGCAGAAGTAAAAAGGTTTTAGTAGATATATAAAAGACCGTGTAGTGATAGCAAACCTTCTGCATCAGGATCGAGTTGATTTACAACAGTATACAAAAGAGAACTGTCAGACTCCTTACGCAAATACCCCATCTGAAAAAGCAAAACACTGAGTAAATTAAACGCTTTAAAAGCTGTCAGCTCTAATAATAAAAAAGAGCTATAACTTGTGTAAACATTGGATACAACTGGATTGTATAAAAAGTGTTCAAAGTGTAAAACCTTGGAGTTTGGCATGTATCTGTTGATGCGGTCGTGAGCTTCATCTGCAGAATGTTCAACCAGTGCCAGAACATGCTCCTCTGCTGTGCTGTCAGTCAAGCTGCATGCGTTTCCCTCTGGTTCATACAGGTAACTGAGACGGCAGAAATGTTACACAGTATCAGACGAGGTGTTGTGTGACAAGATTCACAATGCATCCGGTGTCAATCACTTCCCCACTGGCTTCTCTGAATATGTTAGTCTGAACGCGTTTGCAAAAAAAGTAAAGGTGACATCAAATGTAGACACTGTTCAGGGAATACCTGATTTCCTTCATGTCCTTGGCTGGCTGTTTCCTGGGCTTCCTTGGAGATTCCATTGGAATGTGGATTGTCTCTGGAGGAGGAATGTCAGCTGTCAGGTCTTCATCCCCCAAAATGGCTGCTTGCTGGGTAAAATCCATGTCCTGCATGAATGACATGCTGCGTTTCAGAGCCAAAAGCCGTTCCTGGACAACGAGTAGAAAGAAAAAAAAAAAAGACACAATATTTACATTCATTACATAAATTCCACTTTTATGGAAAAGCAATAATAAACAATGATATTGGTAGTAAAGCATTTGTACTGATTCCATAAACATGTGACAGTATATTTTAACGAAAGCAAAAACGTATATCCTCAAGTTTTAGGTTTAGAACATCAAGGTTTGCATTACTAGTAGCATTAGTTAACAACATTTGCAGTCGATTGAATATTGTTTAAATTAATGGTATATCTTCGGAGTGATACATTGGATTGCAACACCCAAATCAGTTTTATTTGTATGTGAGAGTCGTACAACTCTGCTACTAAAAATAACAGCACTTTGAATATATTCCATAACTGTGGAACACACTGTGTATGGAACATGATTTGACTGCTAATAACTTCCTTTGTGATCTCTGTTGCTGTGCTGTTTTATCTTTATAAAACAACAATATAATGTACACATCAACAACAATCATACACTGTTGTTATAACAAATGAATAAAGTGTTTTTGCCTTTGGTTTGCTTGACCGTGTTACCTTGCTCATCATCTTGAATCCTGTGTGAAGCAATTTCTTTGCAGCCTTGTAGTAGACAGTCTCTGGTCGGTTGTATACCATGGCATTGTCACACATCAGTTTAAAATCAGCCTGAGGAACAAAAAGTGTTCAGTCGACTATGAAGGCTGCAGGTTTAATGCCCAACATCTTTAAGCTGGGAAGAAAATCTAATTCACAATCAGTTGTTAAAGACACCCTCACCTTAAATTCTGTTACTGTTTTATAGTCATTTTTTCTATTCTTGTCTTTCATGGTGCTGAAGTCCATAGGATGTTTGATGATCATTGAGTAACCAGGAGCGATTGCATCTGTTACTGGAGATGCAAAGAACCCATGGGGATCTTTCCTGGAAAGATGAGAGACACACCATCAATGTTATTGAAAGCACAAGCTTTTAGACTTGTTTAGACGTGCCCAGTGTTCTGATCTGATCAAGAATGTTATCTTTCAGGTCAAAATGGTCATTATTAATGGATCTTGCTGTGCTTTTATCAAACAAAGAATTTCATAATGTAGCCTTATTCACATGCCACATTTTGTAATCTGTGATAAACAAACAGGGCTTCCCCTCAGTTCTTCAAAAGAATAATAATTCATTATCTGCTAGGTTAATGTTTGAAAGCATGTCAAAGGAGCAATATTTATTGGCCGTGTTCAAAATGTAGCATGCTGGTGTTCCACGACAGAACAGCAAATGCAAAATGCTCTATTTTTAGAGCATTATTAGCAGGAAAGTAATGCGAACCTCCCTCTCTAAGAGAATATATGTGTTTATCTAAGCTCATGCTAATCTGCCAAGTGGACTGTGGGAAAAGACACATGCAAAACTGACATTTTTAATCTACCGGTATAAAAAAGGAAACAGAACTACTGTGGACTGCGTTCATCGTAATATGTACAGTTAGGGCCTCATATATTTGGACACTGACACAAGTTCTGTTTTTTTACCTGTTTACCGAAACATTTTCTAGTTATAGTTACATAATGGACATGGACATAATGTGTAGACTCTCAGCTTTCATTTGAGAGTAACAAATGCAATGAAGGCATCTGCGGTGCCTGCATTTGGAAGATTTTGCTGTAAACAGACAACATTGTTCTTACCTCTGCAGCTGCCTCAGAAAGTGTTCTAGCAGCTGTTGCCGTGGTGTGGACTCATTCTCTAAATCGGGCAAACATAAACTTACAAGTAAATTTTTGCCCAAACAAAAAATGCTTGTAAAAATTGTATGCTCTTATAGACAGGTAGTCTTGCCTTGCTGTGTCCGGCAAGCTCTGACTGGCCTGTCTCCTGGTTGTTCTACGTCCACCTTCACAGTGGGGTGAAACTCCTCCCCTTCGGGCTCTATTTCAAACCTTTCTTTCTTCTTCTTTTTCTCTTCTGGCTGTAGAGATACACACAGAATGTAAACAACTTGTCAAAAATAACCATAAATAATTTACTGGTCACAATCTTAAGATTTAAGTTTTATCACCTCCAATCCAATACTTTTTGACAGTGTGAATGGTTCAACAGGTCCAGCACCACCACCACTACTACTACTAGCAACAGTCACAGCTGCCGCCTCTGATTCACTCTGCTCCCGCTCCCTCTTCTTCCTTTTCTCCTCCTGTGAAATGGTAAATAGTAAATGGACTGATTGTTATATAGCACTTTTCTACTCTCCCAGACCACCCAAAGCCCTTTATACAAGAAGCCTCATTCACACAAGCACTGTCTTTGACACTTAAGTGCAATCTACCAATCAAAAACGTCAATATGTCAATGGATGCATCAGAGAGCATCAGTATCTTGCCCAAGGATATATGGCATGCAGACTGGAGCAGCCAGAGGTCAAACCATCAACCTTCCGATCAGTAGATGACCTGCTCTACCTCCTGAGCTACAGCCACCCCAATGAAATGAAAGCCAATTAAAAAACAAACAACTTAAAGTAGTAAATGGTGCATTAGTCACGCAGAAGAACGAAATTCAGCTACCTAACCTTTCTTCGCCTTCTCTCCTCATCATCTACATATTTGTCTTTATCCTTTTCAGACTTTTTCTTCTTCTTTTTCTTCTTTTCTTTGTGACGTTCTCGCTCGTGGTCTGATCTGTCATCGTAGTAGCTGGAGTCATGGCCGGACCCAGAGAGTTCAGTCACTTCGCTTCCTCCAACTTTGAGCACAAGCTTCAAAGGCTTCTCAAGAGCTTTGTCCTCATAGTCTACAACCAAAACGAAGAATTGGTAAAGGTATTGTGTCAGGCAATAGCAGTGACAGAGTAGAAGGGCAGTATGAAAGAAGTTGACATTAACATGCAGATTGTCTTTAAAAAACGAAAGCCTTTACACGCCAAACTGGTTATTATATAAAAAAGGCATAATAAGCTCTCTGGTTTATATAAAATAAAAGGCATAATAATCTCTTTGTTGTTTATTTTTTATGTATGTATGTATTTTTATGTTGTTTATGTATTTTTTCTACTTACAACCCAAATACAGTTTGTAATTTTTAGAAGTGTTTTATAATAATTTATAACGTAAAACAAACAACAATAAGAACAAAATAGTATACAACGTAATGCAGCAAAGTGATTAATGCGAGATTTTAGGAATACATAATTCCACCAGTAGAGGAATGAATGAATGGAGCTACTATACATAAACTAAACTGTCAGCTTTAATGCTAGCTAACATAATGCTAGCTAGAACAAAAGCGACGCTGCAGTGAGCGCTCGGTGTTCAAATAAAATGTGCTCTAATGTACCGTCAACTGTTCTCCATTCCGGTTTATGCTTCTTATGTTTTTTCCCCATGTTTCTGTTCTAATGCTGAAAGTCGTAAATTTATTCCAATTAACACTGGTCGCTAGCGTTAGCCTAGCTGTGACGAGTTACGATCCTAGCAACAAAAGAGACGGTGGGCAGACGATCATGTGACGCTACAAAAACTACTGTTGTATTTCCGGTTTAAACAAAACGCGCGGAATTCGACTCATAAATATCGGCAGCACACGGTTGATAGTAAAAATACACCAGATGTTTGATTGATAAGACTAACCAGTTTGACGACGCTAATGTTTTAAGGTTTGGGTTTTGTTTTGTCACCTCAGCAGGTTGTTTTGTTCATATGAGGCAGCTGGGTTAGCTAGCTCACGTTTACAGCCTTACCCGGGTTAGCTAGCTTGCTAACGCGATGTAGTGATGGGTTTTGGTTCAGCACATAATGAAATACATGCGAAGCCCTCTGAGACTTGCTGTTGTTAAAGCCGAAGTTATTGCTCTGGTGTTCACAGTTCTTCGGCAATGGAGGATGACAGGATGGAGACGGGAAACCTCATACCACAAATCCATGTGGAAGTTCACGTTAAATCTGACAGGTAGGTAGTTTAATCCTAGTGTAAACAGTGACGTTAATATTAGGTCAAACCCATACACAGGTGATAAAGGACATGAAGAGCTAAAATGCCTCCTTTGGTTTACTTTGACCCTTTGAACTCAAATGACTCCTTTTTTTCACCAAAGATTTAAATATGTTTCAAGTTATGTCTGACGATAACGTTTGTTTAAAACAAATCAGCAATGGTATTGTCATAGTACCAGCCAGAAGCTAGATATATACACGCATACCTTCTTGTGATTTGTCTTTCATATTTCAGCACAGCTAAACGGTCTGAGGTGAAAATGCATGTTCAGAGTTTACTGAACTGTCACAGCATGGTGTTTGGAAACTACGCATGGACAGAGTTTGACGATGACTTCCTTCAGAAGCATGTGGCATCTGTGGTTATAGCTGATCTAGAAGAAATAGTTACACAGGTCTGTTATTTCAGTTTGTTTTGGGGATGAAAGCTCTGCAGTATCATTGTATTTTTAAAGCTTTATACTTAATTTTTATTCTCCCTTTCAGCCCCTTGATTTGAAAAACTGCTGTGTCTCTTTTCACATCTTCACACTGAGCGAAGATGGACCTAGCATGCTCACTTTGGAGGAGGATGAGGAGCTTTCAGCAGCAAACCACTGGTTGCTGCCTGCAGGTAACACTGCGTTCAGTTTAATTCGCTTTACTGTCATTAAAGCAAAACCAGTGCAATAAATTGTCTCTTATAGGTAGGTTACAGTTGTTGTTGGCAGTGTGTGACAGTTTCTGGTCTAGTGATTGTGTGCAAAACAGTGTAAGACTATGCATTTAATAAGTCATTCATAAAGGACTCTGGAACATATTGTTATAGAGACATGAGAGATTTACTGTCCTGGGGTGGAGAAAGGAAAAAATGAGCCTTGGTGGCATTTTAAAAACACTTGGTGGCAGTGTTTTTTGGTAGATATCTTTGATGACAGGTAGCTGATTGCTAACAGTACGCTCAGCTGCTGTGACTTTCCTCTGCAGTGCCCTTTCGTCAGCCAAGGCAGAGTTGCTGTACCAAACTGTAAGATGGGAACATGGAAAATAATGCTATAATATTTGTACAGTGGTGAAGCTGGAGAAGTGGAGAAACTTGTTTTGTGACAAATGGGCCCTTTCACACTGGGCCTTCTTTATCAGACCGGAGATAAAGAGACCAAATCAAGTCCTCAGTAATATAGACATAATTTCTTTGGTCTCTTTAACATTAAGGTCAAGGTTGTTTTTAGAGCACTGTATCACCAGATGCTGGATCTTCTTTTCATTGTTCTGTGGACCATCTTGTTTTTTTATTAGATATTTGGACAATCAATGTGACGCCATCTGCGTATAGTGGAGGATAATAGTATAATATAGGATGTATGTAGGATGGAAATGGTCGTTTGAGTATGTTCCAGCAACATCTATCATCAGGAGGTTCTCAGAAAAAACATCTCATTTAACAGGGAGTAAAGGACTGGAGAGCAATGATTGATGGTCACGATATGTCTCCAACGCAGCTTTAAAAAAGTAGGGGGAGAAGATATCGGATCCATGTGACCCTGCAATCTTCCTGCATTGAGTTACAAACTGACGTATTTTAACCAAAATCTTTTTAAATGACATTTTTGTATCTTCACGGTACAAGGTCTGTGCTGAAATGTTTATGGATCATATTAAGAGTAGGAATGAGTATTATACAGCAGAAAGAAGTGTGAAAATCTAGCGCTTATTTAAACGTTTCTTTACTTTTTACTGGTATCAAAATTCGGATGTCATTTGTGTGTTTGAATCCAGCATGACCAAAACCTACTTTGCAAATGTATCAGTATTTTACATCTTGTTACAAATGTACAGGCTACATGTTTCTGTCAAACAGGCCTCAAGATCCTGCTGCCATGTTGCTGGTGGAGCATCTGCTTTTTATTTCTTCTTTTTATGGGATAAAAATAAAATAATCTTGGTTTAGCATTCGAGATCTGTGGGTGTAAAGCTTGGTGAGCATGTTGTGCTACTGAGGATGATATTTTTTTTTTCTTGTAGCTCATAAGCATTTTCTATTCTGTTATATATGTTAAATTGCTTTGTTTTTTCTTTTTAACAGCTGAATTTCATGGGATTTGGGAAAGTCTGGTTTATGAAACTGGAGTCAAAACTCAGGTAAAATAAATTACAGCTGTTTAGGAATTAGGAAAAATGATCAAATCACCTGATGTGTAACCTAATGCTTCTGAACTTTACCTTATTTCCCTTTTTCTCTAGCTCCTGGATTATGTCACAACAACAATTTATTTCTCAGACAAAAACGTTGACAGCAACCTGATTTCATGGAATCGTGTTGTTCTGCTTCATGGTAAATATTTAAGAAGGGAATTTCTACAGTGATTGTTATTACATTGGAACAAAAAATAATGACTGCCTCTCTTTGTTTGCCCACATTCAGGACCTCCAGGCACAGGGAAAACATCACTGTGCAAAGCTCTCGCCCAGAAACTGTCAATCAGACTGTCAAGTCGGTAAGATCGTCCTCATTCTAGTGAATCCGCTCCAGCTATGACTACACCAGCACTTTTCATTTCCAAATACACCTTTTTTTTCTCCCCTGCAGGTATTTATATGGCCAATTTGTTGAGATAAACAGCCACAGTTTGTTCTCAAAGTGGTTCTCAGAGGTACACCTGGGTCTTTTTTTTTTTTTTTAATGTTTTTGTTACTCGTATTGTCTCCTGTAGCTAATTATGCCTATTTTTCACAGAGTGGCAAGCTGGTCACAAAGATGTTTCAAAAGATCCAACAGCTGATTGATGACAAAGACGCTCTTGTGTTTGTTCTGATTGATGAGGTAAAACGAAGTGTATTTATTTCATTTAGATTTACTTCTGTGTCTTTTATGTTTATCTAAGACAGAAGAGCTTCTTGCCAACTCGTTGTACTTTGTTATGTTGAAGTGTGATTGAAACCGTTTCTCTTTTGTGAACAGGTGGAGAGTTTGACAGCAGCAAGAAATGCCTGCCAGGCAGGAACAGAGCCTTCTGATGCCATTCGTGTGGTCAACTCTGTCCTCACGCAGCTGGACCAGATCAAACGGTCAGAATGCAAACCTTTCTTAGTGATTTTATTTGTTTTAAATTAGAGATTGACTCTGTACTAGTCTGTTGTGGTGGAGAGAGAGCGGTGTGAAAATGAAGCTGTTGCTTAACACATGGTTAAAAGCTTTCAGTAGAGACCAAAAGATTGAAATTGCAGAGACAAGTGGTGGAAATGAGCCTCCTCTGTAGGTTATCTTGGTTCTCCCTTTAAGACAGAGGAGGAGCCCAGAGCTGAGCTGCTCCACCTCTACATTGAAAGGAGCAGCTGATATGGTTTGGGCATCTAAACAGGAGGCTCTGAGGCAGAACCGGGGCATACTTGAAGACAATATGTCTCTTGGCTGACTTGGAACATAACATTTCCATGAGACATAACCTTTTCGGGTGGCTGTGGAGACTGAAGTCTGAGTTTCTCTGCTAAAACTGCTACTGACCCAAACTTGGAGTGACAGAAAGTAGATGGATGGGTTATTTACTTATTATGTGCTACTTTAAACAAGTTGTTCTGTGTTGGCTATTGGGCTGATATTTCAGACATTCCAATGTAGTGATCTTGACGACCTCCAATGTGACAGAAAAAATCGACTTGGCCTTTGTAGACAGAGCTGATATCAAGCAGTACATCGGACCGCCATCTGAAAAAGGCATTTACAACATCTACCTCTCCTGCCTGGAGGAGCTGATGAAGGTAATCCAGTAATCTGGCAGCAATTTATTTCCACTTCTAAAGTGAAACACATCTGACTTAAATGTTTTTCCGTCTAAAATTGTAACTACACGGTCACGAGGTGGGCAACCAAACTTGGCATACAGGTCTATATTAGATATTATGATGTCACCATATTGCGTAGTAACCACCTGACCAAAAAGAGCACTTTGCTAGTAGGAAACGAATGTCAGTTTCCTGAAATGTTACATACGTATGGCAGCCATCTGGTGCAGTGCACACCATGCTGTCCAGTGCCAGGCATTGTACCTTGCAATCTCTGTATGAGTGTTTGTGTAACTGAATGAAGACACTGTAAATTGCTCTTGATAAAAGGGCTACATAATGTCCATATAGCAGTTTATTCCAACAAAATATTGATAGAACAATAAAAAAAAAAGAAGAAAAAAGTCACAGTGCAAAATACAATTTAAGCATATTTAAGGAAAGCAAAGCGGTACTGATTTGTAACTTGGGCTTGTTATAATGTTGTATAATATGATATTTTACTACAGTACACATCTAACTAGGCAGCTCATTTTCTTGAAATGGGGTCAACTTGAAAGATGTGAAATGTAAAAGTAAGGTCAGAGGTCAAATGTGACATATTTGGATCCAAATAAGTGCATTCAGGTGCAAACCAAAACAACCCCACGAGAACCTTTGGAGGAGGTGGTCTCCAAAGGAACTCCAGAGCGGTTCATTTATTTTGTGAACGTGATCCAATCTGAACAGACCACCAAGTGTAA